GCCCATTTACAATTCTACTATGCTTGAATGAGAAATGTCCCCCCATTGGGAATGGCCTAAAGACACTTCAGTCAGTGGCACTTCCCCGGGGAGTGAAAACTAAAAAGGAGGCTATATATCAAGGTAAGAAGTAAAAGGGCTTGGGTTTTTTGGCCATGAACAAGTTAGACGTGAGCCGTGTGGTGCCACAAGGAAGAATTCATGTGAAACGAAAGTAATATTAAATAATATGTTAAAAATCGAAAATAAACTCACGTTTAACAGAAACGAATGGTTATGATACAAATCAACATACTTCTGGTATATTATAGAACTAACTGAATGAAATCTAAAGCCAAGTTTACTTTTATTTACTTATTGTTGCGCTGCAAAACGCTATGGCTTATAGGCTTGCATTGATCTGAAGGTTGCTGCCATTTTCACAATAGTCACAGCTTGTTTTGTTTTTTTTACATTTTTTGGGCAAGTCTGTTAGTGTGACCATCCTTTGTTGATGAGTCGGCTGAGTGAGCATTTGGTCTTTTGCTTCACCGAGCCACGGTTTCAAATCGTATTTCCAAACCCACAAGCATTCTCGTAGATGTTAAGAAAATGTGCATTTGGGGGGGGGTGGGGATATTTCTTCCCCAATATATTGATGAGTTGCCATTTAAACCCTGCCTTTGTGCACGAGCATTGTTACATACAAAGCATACTTCGTTGTGGGGATTGTTGGACGAATTTCTCAGAGGGATGGGTTGAAACGAAATCTGCCATTCCCTCTACTTGAAAGTCGTGAAAGACAAGGCCACCCTCGTCACTGACGGCTATTTAGGCCCCTATGGCATTGTGCAGTTCGGTCCCCTTCGACCCTGCATTACTCGAACAAAGCATTGACCGCTCCGCGCGCTTCATCAGTTTCTCTTCGTTAACAGCTTTACTTGATACCAGCCTCATCGATGAAGGCAAATTCATACAGCTAAATGTACTGCATCAGCCATGCTGCATATTGTAATTGATGTCATGTCAAGTTGGTTCAGTTCTATATGAATTTCTTTCCGCGGTAGCATCCTCAGGATTTTTTTAACGGTGATCAATTCACCTTAAAATTAAACTGCTTATAGTTGTCGTCAACTCAGTTTGAGCACATCAAAATGTTTTTCACGTTAGATAATCTTTTTGGAGGATATTTGTTTTTGATGGCATTTGAACTTGCTATTGTGTTACATTTGGATTTGCTATTTGTACATTTGAACTTGTTACACACAATTGTGCACTAAACTTTCCTATTGAACATTTGAACTTTCTATGTGACGTGAAACTTTCTATGTGGCATTTGAACTTGCTATGTGGCATTTGTATTTCCTGTTTGTACATATGATCTGAAAAAACTATATATATATTATATATATTATATTATATATATTGCTTGTGACGTGAATCCCCATCCCAGAACCATTTTACAACGACGGGAGGCCCTCAACAATGCCTGAAACATTTTGCAGGCAGACTTATGTACTCTTGCATAGGAGATGCCCTGATGTGTCAAATGCACATGGAGGTCACACAGTGTACTGATATGTGTGACTTTTATTTTAACCCCTGTGTTGTCAAATTACAGTAATAAAACAGCCTTTTTTGCAGAAAAATAATCCTTTCACTTTGATTTATCTGTCAGATCTTACGTTTTTCAATATCATGTTCGAATGAAATGACGAGATTTGATTCTGGGATTGTCAGTAGACAGAAAGTGCAATCTGTATCAGCCTTAAGGTGTGAAAACCTCTCCCTCTTGTTTTCTTCCAGGTGGTCTGTGCCGTACCTTGAACGGTGACTGTGACTGCTTTATTTGCACCGGCCGAGGACCTGCTGGGGAGAGCCAAGCTGCTTTTCAAGCCTCAGGGACAGAAGAATACTGAGTTGTGATCACCTGGTTTGATGCAAATTTCAACAGACTTTTCTCTTTGATGGAGGTGTAGACATAGAAGCCTTAGGCCGCCAGTCTTTCGACTCTTTGTTCTAGCTGTTTAAGTTGTTATCAGTAAGGAGCAAGTTCCACTTGAAGATAGCACGATGCCTTTCTTCGGAAACCGTAACAAAAGCCCGCAAGAGCTGGTACGCTCTCTGAAGGAAAATTTGCTTCTTCTGCCTAACCTGAAAGAAAAGGAGTACAAAAAGGTGAGAGGAATGTTGCAAATAGTGTTTGAAAAGGATAAAAGGGAAATGACTTAAAATTCACTTAAACTGACTGTGACTGCCTGATTGTATGAGGTCATATTTTGCTTTTTAGCAAAAATGACCATTCCTGTGCTCATGACATCATCTGTGGGACTGGTGGTGTGAAAAAGAAGGACTACATCGTTGTATGTGTCATATATGTCATCTTTCAGCTTTATTGAAAACTTGATAAGACATGTTATTCAGTCTTTTTGTAAACATGGGACAATTTGCAAACCTTTCTTTTTATTTTTCCTTTTCATTTATTCCAAGACGTGTGATGTTGAAGGGTGTTTTTTAAATTCAAAGGTCCCTTTCATTTATTATTAATTACTCTCTTGTTTCGGTCTGCGTGTCATGTTTTTGCATTTTAGCAGTACTAAATAACAGGGTTATAATTAAATGTTGCTGTACTGCTTTTAACTCAAATTTAGAACCTGGATACAGTTTACAACCATACTCAGTTTATTAAAAGACAAGAACTTGATATTCACTATGTGTTCCTTTGATATAGTGAGACATCTATTATCTCTCTCTCTCTCTCTCTCTCTCTCTCTCTCTCTCTCTCTCTCTCTCTCTCTCTCTCTCTCTCTCTCTCTCTCTCTCTCTCTCTCTCTCTCTCTCTCTCTCTCTCTCTCTCTCTCTCTCTCTCTCTCTTTTCTCTCTCTCTCTCTCTCTCTCTCTCTCTCTCTCTCTCTCTCTCTCTCTCTCTCTCTCTCTCTCTCTCTCTCTCTCTCTCTCTCTCTCTTTCAGCTGCTCTCTCCTGTGAGGTGCAGTTGGTTAGAAAGTGCCTGTGATGGTTCTACTTCTTTTCTTTGTCTCAAATTTTTTCTCTCACTTTATGATCATACTTTTAATACAAAACCCGTCCTAGCTCGTGTAAATGTGCTGTATATGCTTCTTAGGAAGTTGAAATTGTTTCAGAAAGCTTTCAGGTCTGCTTTGGTAATATTATAGGTTGTAAAGGGCATAGAGATTGCTGTTGAATGAATGGGTGGTTGGTAGGGTCTCTTGTGCAGTTTGCTCCTTTTTGCTTATCGAACATCCGTTGTTCTTATCTCTCTTTTTCCTTGTATGTTGCTCTCTATCTAACCTAATCTTCTGCTCATACATGACCCGTGTTGCAAGAGCTAGAAACCTCTTACTTACTAAAACTAAAATAAACTGTTAGTCACCCCTGGGACGGTGCTACTGACTGAAGTGTCTTTAGGCCATTCCTAAAGGGTGGGATATTAATATGTAGAAGTGTAAATTGTAAATGTGCTGATTCATGAATGTCATGCTCATAACTGTGCCTGAACTGCAACAGGGAACTGCTGCTTTTTCTTTCCTAATCTTTACTTTCGTCAATTTCCTCTACTTCTTTTGTATGTTTGTCACACTCTTGTGACCCGCTATTTCTGGGGTGCATTGATAGTTGAAACAGACTTTATGCTGTTGAAGCTAGAGAGGTGAGCAGAGTAAGCCTGATTCCCTGTAAGGACTTCTCTGCTGACATCCATCCCTTGGCACTCATATGACCTTATACAGTTGCGAGCGCCGTAAAACTTTACTATAAGTAACTTAACTGTTGAAGGGGAATTTTTACTATACAAAAAATCCTATTTTAGAAGTATTATTGTGTGAACAGGTCAATGAGGATGTGTCCAAGACGCTGCAGACAATAAAGACGCTGCTGTATGGGACTGTGGACCAGGAGCCTGCTACTGAGCAGGTTGCCATGTTGTCCACGGAGATGTACCAGAATGGTACGCTGCTCGTCCTCGTCCAGAACCTGGCCCGCATTGACTTTGAGGTTAGCATTGTCTCCATGTCCTTCATTACTCTTACCATTATAGTAGAAATTTGCTCCCCCCCCTGGGGCAGTGCCACTGACTGTAGTGTCTTTAGGCTTAGGCCATTCCCAAAGGGGGGGGCATTTCTCGTTCAAGCTCAGTAGAATTGTAAGTGGGCTGATTCATGTCACGCTCATAATGATCTACAACAGGGAACTGCTGCTTTTTCTTTCCTAATCCTTACTATTGTCGTTTTCCTCTACTTCTTTTGTATGTTTGTTAATCTCTTGTGACCTGCTATTTCCGGGGTGCCTTGATAGTCGAAGCAGACCTTGTGCTATTGAAGCTAGAGAGGTGAGCAGAGTAAGTCTGATTCCATGTAAAGACTTCTCTGTTGACACCCACCCCTTGGCGCTCATATGACCTTCTGCAGTTGCGAACGCCGTAAAACTCTCTACTATAATAAAATAAAAAGAAATTTGCTGTTCTCTGGGGGGGTCCCATTTTGGATATATAAAGGAAAGGTATTGTGGAAATTGGCTTTTTTTCGTTATGTGTTGATGCTTCTAATCATGATTTTATGGGCGTACAAGTGGATGGAGGGCGCCACTGACAGGGTCTGCTTTTCCCTACTTTCCCTCTTTCTTTTCCTGCCAATCGTTGCTGCTTTTTATCCCCTTTTTTTCTGTTGATGTGCTTCTCTTTACTCAAGCAAGCAAATTTGGACAGTTAAAAAAAAAATTTAACCAAGTATCTACAGGCACACAATCACTGTACTGGCAATAACCTTTCTTCTTTTTTTTTTTTAGATTTTGAAAACATTTATAGCTGGATTTGATGTTGTGGGCTTTTTAGTAAAAATAAGTATACATAAATGTGAAAATAAGTTAAGGTAAAATTTGATGGTTTTCTTTTTTGCTTTTTGAAGCATGTGTGTCCAACTTTTTTAAAACTCTTCCTAATTAATATGTTTTGTTTCTTCCTTGTCCTAAATAACTTATTGTATCGTTTTATTGATATTCCTCTCTTAACTCAAGGGATTGGAATCTGTCATATCTATTTTGGATATGTGAAGCATGTGTGGGGAAGGATGACAAATTTCTCAGTGCTTGTGGCCTACATTGGGAATTTGAGGGTTTTGCTGAAATTATCACCCCTTTCTGCAAACGTTTAGTATGACTACGATTTATTTACAGTACCAAAAACATCAGCTGTTTGGAAGTAAATGTGTTAACAAATTGGCTGTACTTACAGCCTTTTAATTGTGATGCAGTTGTGCCTCAAGTTATATTTCTCATGTTGTCTTTTTTAAGTAGTATGCATGGATGCAGGCACACATATATACAGACAGACAGATGCAGTTGTAAAATGTTTTATACACATAACTAATTTTTTTGTGTATTTTAAAATTGTTGAGTCATGATTAATTTATTGGTTTTTATCTTATTTACCAGGGTCGCAAAGACGTTGTTGCCATCTTCAACAACCTGTTGCGGCGCCAGATTGGCACTCGAACCCCTACAGAGGAGTATGTGTGTCAAAACCCGAAAGTTCTCATTGAGCTTGTGAAAGGGTAAGAGCTAGTCCAGGATTCCTTATGCTTTTACGATTGAGCTCAGTGCTGCCGTTTTTGTGTGTTTTTAAGTACAGTAGCAGGTTTTGTTTTTTCCTGTTCCTGTCTACTCAATTGTCCAACCAATCATCTGTCCTTCTCTCCTACCCTCTTCATGAAATGGGTTTTGCACTCCGGCTAATGTGCAGAAATTGCCAAAAAGAACCCAAGTTATTGTATAGGAAATTAACCAGTCCACAAACATTGAAAATGTTGTCAATGATTTGGGAAAATTGTGTGTTTTGTTGTTACATCATGTAATAAAGTGGATGATCTCAGCAAGGCTTCTGCAATACTCGGTTATGAATACCCAGCCAACTAGACCCACATGCCTATTTAAAACATTTCATTTGTAATTACCATATACTCAGCTCATTTGTATCTGGCACACTCTTTGGCTATGGAGCAAGAAGGTGAGGAATGCAAGTGGCAAAGACTTTTCCAGTTCTCAAAATCAATTGGGCACTCTGATGTGGTTTTTCTCATTCTTTTATGAAACATCTCTTCTCCTTATCTCTTCCTCTTTTTTCTTTGTATATACTTTCCTGTTACATTTCTAATTTTAGGCACCTATATGACCTTTCTATGTTGGAAATGCTGTAAATTTCAAATAAAAACTAAAATTCAAATCCATGGTATATCAAGACAGGGATGGAATATCTGTCACTTTTTATTTTTTAAACATCCTACTTAAAGTCATCATGAATATAACCTTCATTATTTTTTTATTTTCTCAATTAATTAATTTTTTTTCAGTTATGAAAATCAAGAAATCGCTTTGAACTGCGGTATGATGCTGCGTGAATGTTGTCGGTTCGAGTCCTTGGCCAAAATCTTGCTGAACGCCCCGGAATTTTACAAGTTCTTTGAATATGTGGAAGTGTCCACCTTTGACATTGCTTCAGATGCATTCTCTACCTTCAAGGTAAACATCTCACAGTTTTTCCACTATAATAAAAGAAAAGAAATCCTATGACTCTTTTGTTGTTCTATTCAATTCAACACATTGATCATGATTTATGGTTTGGTTTCATTTTTATTTGTGACTGTGATAACTTTTCAGCTTTCCTTTTAACTAGATCTATATGACTTTGTAGGTAGACGTGCTGTCTTTCCCTCTTATTCCCTCTCCTTCTCTCTCTCTCTCTCCCTCTCTCTCCCTCTCTCTCTCCCTGTCTCTCTCTCTCTCTCTCTCTCTCTCTCTCTCTCTCTCTCTCTCTCTCTCTCCCTCTCCCTCTCCCTCTCCCTCTCCCTCCCTCCCTCCCTCCCTCCCTCTCTCTCTCTCTCTCTCTTTCTCTCTCTCTCTCTCTCTCTCTCTCTCTCTCTCTCTCTCTCTCTCTCTCTCTCTCTCTCTCTCCACCTAAAAAAGAACATCTTTAAGACCTGCATGTTTGCCGACAATCGTCTGAAATCCGACAATCGCGACCCGACCCGCGAGCCAACCGATGCTATCGCTAGGCCCGCCTGTTTTAGTCAATGTGCGTAGTGCAAGGCCTGGCCGACTGCCAGCGCGCCCTTTTTTTCCCGTCGGCTTTTTCGGCACTTTCGTTTTCATTCCAACTGCCGACGTCGGCGTTTCCGACATAATTGTCGGAACCCGAGTAGAAATGCGAATACGGAAAAGGACGACGACCTAAATTATCTACTTTCAGTGTCGTGCTCGACCGGCCACTTTGAATTTAGTTTGTTGACTAATTCAATTGTTCAGATCATATGGATTCATTCAAGTCCGACTCACTTGTTCTACTAGATCTAGATCTAGATTTATAGATCATTATAGACCTCAATGGAGGATTCATATTCCAATTCTATTGTGTCAAACCCTATCATAGATTGCGCTGTAATATCAATGTTGGTAAAAAGCATTTCATCAGGTGCGTGAATTATTTATTTTTTTAGAATCTAGATTTAGGTCTAGATCTAGAGATCTAGATCTATATGGAGGATTCATATTCCAATTCTATTGTGTTATTGTATCAAACCCTATTATAGCAATGTAGATGTAGGCCATATTATGCTCCTGACCTTGTTTGTTTTGGAGTGTGAGTTTTTTTTGTTAAATATTTTTTCATTTTGGACTTGTGCTGGCCTTTTCACATGAGGCCCGTTGCAGGTTCATTTTTGGGGTAGGCCAAGGGGTAGGGTTAGGTCTCTTAATTATTGTGTTTGTTGGGTTATTCGCTCGTTACCCTTATGACACCCACCAAAGCTCTTTAATGGGGGGGGGGGTTGCGCAAAATTTTCAGACAATCAGGTTGAGGCTCACATGCAGGCCTAATTTTTTAGAAGAGTCAATAGAGTGTGGAAACTGTTTCTTACTTTTCATAGATGTTATAACCTAGATTGTGTATTTTCAAACATTTTAGAAGATTGTAAAATTTTCCCCTTTTTTTTTCCAGGAACTGTTGACGAGGCATAAAATGCTTTGTGCTGAATTCCTAGATCAAAATTATGACGAAGTATTCACACATTACCAGCTGCTTCTTAACTCTGAAAACTATGTGACCCGTAGACAAGCACTCAAGGTAAGTGGCATGAATTATGTTAGCTGATAACTGATTGACCTGAGTGTGACTTCTTTTTTTTATCAACTCATATATGGTGGGTAGTAGGAAGGCACCATTGGTAGGTCTTTCTTTTTTTTCTCTCTGGTGTTCCCATTTGTCTGTCTATTTTCCTGTTCTAAACCACGGTTATCGTGTCTGTATGTTTGTCCACTAAAAAAAAAAATTAGAACAACCCTGGAAACATATTGAGGCAAATTGTACAAAAATGAACTGGAAATTCGCTTAATTTATTTTGTTTTGTATTGCTGAATTCGTTTAAGAAAACAAAGAGTGGGTGGTTGACGGATGCTCTGGTGTGGTTTGCTTCTTCTTTCCTATGAAACATCTATCGTCCTTATCTCCCCTTCTTTTTTATGTTTGCTACTCTCTTGTAACACCTCTAATCATCTGGCGCTCATATGACCTTATGCAGTTGCGAGCGCCGTAAAACCTCTACTTAAAACAAAACAAAGACAAAGGCTCACCCAGTTTGTTTTGTTTGTCGCAGCTGTTGGGTGAACTCCTCCTGGACCGCCACAACTTCAGCACGATGAACCAGTACATCAGCAACCCTGACAATCTGAAGCTCATGATGAACATGCTGAGGGAGAAGTCCAGGAACATCCAGTTCGAGGCCTTCCATGTTTTCAAGGTACCGAAATAATAAGCTCTGGAAGCAAAGTTGGTTGTTGTTGTTGTTGGGGGTTTTTTTTTGGGGGGGGGTGGTTAGAGGGTAGTTCTTCAAGAGTCCCACGTGGGCTGCTTGCTGATTAACTTTTTACCTCCGGTGAGCCGCTGTCAGTGATTTGGGCACATTCCTTTATGACGGCTTCGACATAATTACTTTTTGGCAATTGCCGAAAACAGGTCTCTTATACTGGAAGTTCATTTATTAGATGAAGAACTATCAAAACTGCTAGTGTCAATTTAATGACCCATTTAATGGCGTTTTTGTCATTTTTAGATTTAGCACCAAAAAAGGGCCACGGCATAGTGGGTACTCCCCTCGGATATAAAGAGTTAAAAACAAGTAGTCAAAGATAAATGTTTCTCACTGGTAAAATTGAAGGCAAATGGGGCAGGGTTAGACCCAGAGCAACTGACTTAGAGAGCCTAAACAGATGGGTGTTGGGAAAAGATAGTATAATGTTCCTGTTTTGAGAGCATCCAAGCAAAGGAATGAATGGAGAACTATGATCACCGATGTCTGACTGTGATCTAGCACTTTTTTTTTCAAATCTGATACTATATTAAAGGTGTTTTGAGGTTTTCGTTTTTTCCAGATTATACAATCCTGAAATTTTTGGATGTTTAAAAAAATTATTTTTAAGAAGTCTGAAATAATTCAGTGGGTACAGTACTTTGCTTCTAGGGTTGTTGGGTTTTTTTCCGCTCAGATCTTACACAAGTTTGAAGGTGTTTTGAAAAAGATTTGTCTTTCAGATCTAATCATTCTGATGTTCTTATTGGTTGGGGGGGTTTTTGTTAAGAAATTTTATTGATTTTTTATTGATTTTAGCTTTTTGCTCTGTGAAATTGTTTTTGAGTTTTTTTGTTGTTTTTTCAGTCGTGAAGTGCTGTCGGTAATGCTGTTTTATTCAGATAGTTTTGTACAATGCTTGAGTTGCCGGAGGTTGAAAGACGCCACTGATAGATTATACGACATCTTTGTTTGTGTGTCTTGCTTTTTCCCTCCCATAACAAGGGCCATCATGCTTATAGTACCAAGGCTGCAAAAAATGCTTTTAGAGAAAAAAAAGTATCCAGTGCTCAGATTGGGAAATCATTTTAAATCTGAAGGAAAAAGAACAAAGATTGTTTTAAGTAAAAAGCTAATGTTTAGAGGCTATTGATTGCTACAGAAAGTGGAACAGGTTTGTTTGGAAGCATTTTTCACCAAGTTAATATTTTTGTCGCTGGTCTTGAAGGGAGCATTGCTAGGATATGGGTATCGTTGTCAGCACTCACTTTCATGCGCAAATATAGTTACAGTCGAAATTGTCAAAGACGGGCTACCCATTGTTTCGGACAAAAGTGGCTGTCTTAGCCAAGTGGCCATCTTACACAGTGTCATTATAATGTTAAAAAAGCCCTTCCAAAATCACAATGGGGAATGGGAAGTGGCCATTTGTACGGTGATTGTTTTAAACAGGTTAGTGCAAGTTTGACTATATTTCCTGGGTTGTTGGCGGATGCTCTGGTGTGGTTTGCTCCTTCTTTCCTATCAAACATCTATTGTCCTTATCTCCCCTTCTTCTTTTTTTATGTTTGTTACTCTCTTGTAACACCTCTAATCTTCTGGCGCTCATTTGACCTTATGCAGTTGCGAGCGTTGTAAAACCTCTACTAAAACTAAACTAAAACTGACATTTCATTGATGTGCCTCTCTGTACGCTTACAAATAATCATTGGGTTTTGTTGGCATTTTCCTTTACTTCAGATCTTTGTGGCCAACCCCAACAAGCCGCGGCCCATCCTAGACATCCTGCTGCGCAACAAGGACCGGCTGGTGGACTTCTTGACCCGGTTCCACACAGAGCGCTCGGAGGACGAGCAGTTCAACGATGAGAAGAGCTACCTCATAAAACAGATTAAGGAACTACGGCTGCCCGCGGAGGCCGACTCTTAGCCGCCGCTTCATTCCTCCTTCTCTACATCCTTCTTCTTCTTCTCCGAGTTCCGTTAACATTTAATATGCTTAATAATTTTTCCTCCTTTACGGCAACAACCACAACAACAACTTTGTTTTATCTAGAAGAATTTATAATAATGATGATAGTGGAACATATATGATATGTACCTGGAACTGGTTTTTATTTGCGTTTGGGTTGTTTGTTTTTCATGTGCCCCTTTATAAAAAATTTAAAAAATGAAAAGTTTGAATTGTGCAGATGTACAGATTCCTATTAAAAAGTGAACAATTTGATAACAGACCTGTGAATAGAGAAGTGTTCATCTGCTCCAAATCTCTGTCAGATAAGTTGCTAGATTGTAGTGATCTGGTTGATAATTATAATCAAAGTGTTCCTCCTTCTTCTCTTTAGAATAGTTGTTTTGATTGTACCCATCATCACTCAGTGTTGTGTTAGTGGAGTGTGTCTACACTTCTAACTTTCCCTAGCTGAGTAGAATTGTAATGAGGAACTTGAGTTCTACACATTTTGTGGCCTCTGAAATTTGCCTTTTTGATGAAAAACACAGGGTTAGTAGAAAGGATTATGTTTAATGTCTCTTGAAAGACAGTTACATAATCTGTTGGCTACTAAATATGTCTCAATGAGAAATAAACACCCGTAGAGTGGGTAAAAATGATTTGAATATGCTCTCCATGGTGTCTTTTTTCTTGGTAAATGAAACAGAAAGAGAAAAGGAGAAAACAAAAGGCTCAGAAAGAATCATGGAAGTATGATTATGTTATAATTATTTTAGGACAATTTGTTCTTTTGACATATCCAGGGACTGTTTGGGTATATATTCACATCTTTTTGCTGTTTCAGTCAGATCCTAGGTAAACGATAGGTTAATATGTTCGCACCCTAAAATGGGTGGTTTATGGTTTGATGCACTGCTGTCGGAATTGAAGCGATTCTGATTAATTTTAATGTGAGCCAGAAAGGCACGCTGTAGGTGTTTTTGAGCACTGCTGTGGGATGGGATGTGTACGTGCCAGTGTCGTTCGTGCATTACGTCTCACCGATGGTTCTAGCACTGGCTTTTGTTTTGAGGGAAATCTCTTCAGCCCTCCCCAATTTTTCCTCCCGACCATCACCATTGACACCACCTGCTATCCCTTTTCGCTCCTTCTCTCTCTCTTGTCTTCAGTGCACTCGTACACACCACCCACACGTACAACTTATCCTTTGAATCTGAGAGCACCTCAGGACAATGTTACTGCTGTTGCCCTGTTGTTGGTTCTGAAAGGCATATTTATAAAGGATAGAATTTGTATTTGATCTATTTATTTATTTATATTTATAGTTTACTTTGTGTAATGATTTCAGCGCATATTTCAGGAATAAAGGGTAGAATTCACTACATATGTTCTTATTTTCAGTGCTGCTTTATGTAACATCTGTGAAATTTTCAAGTTATTTTTTTATAGGGTGGAGGGGGGAGGTGGTTCTATCCTTTTGGCTGGCTTCAGGCTTTGTCAATAATTTGTAAGCATTTTTACTACTTCTATGGCTTACAACATGTTTATTTCTAGTGGAAAGGTAGGCAAGATTTAGATTGATGTGCTTCACAGAGCTTTGTTAATTTTTGTTTTGATTTAGAGTAACGTTGTGAGCATAGTCGAAATATGTTGGTGCTGAAATGATGGATAGTGACAAAAAGGCAAAATCTGTATGTTCTTACAATTGGTTTATATTAAGATCAAAAAATATTTTGAGCGAGTATGACACTTTGTGACATCAATTGAATCACAAGGGGGATTAAAAGGAATGAAATGACTATTTATAAAATCATCTATAAATTCATAGCTTTCTCTGGTTTGTGTTCAGATTTAGTTTATTGTTTGGTTTTTTATGTTTTGCTTGTGGTCTCTTTAACTTGCCTGTACCTTTCGTCATTCTTTTGCCCAAAGCCCAATTAGAAAAAAAAAGCATTGTATGTTCTTACGGTCTGTTGTTTTTGGGTTTTTTTTAAAGATTGCTGTTTTAATTTCACTGCATTTCCTAGTTGAGATCCTTGTATCAAGGTATACATTTCACCATATCTGGATGCATTGCTTAAATTCTTTGAAATATTGTTTTTATTTTAGTTGGTTGTTAACCATGTTTAGAATTGCACCTTTGGTTTTGTTAAGATTTCTGCAGGGTAAAACATAAAAATAGACTGATGAAAACTGTGCCACGGAACAAAATAAAAGCAAAGAGAAATAAGGGAAAACCTCCTACATCATACATTAAAAATGTAAAATCCGACAGTAATCTACAACTTAATCAAATAATACATCGAAGTAGAGACTGGGAAAGATGGAGGCCTGGTGTGGCAAGAAATGAGGCACTAGTGGATGAACACGGCCATAGTGATAGGGTAGTTGTTGTTGGAGAGATCAGTGTGTTGGGTATTTCAACAATTGTCTCTGGATTTGTTTATACTTTCTTTTTCATGGGGCTACTTTAAATGCTGTTGTATGAAGATAAAGGAAAAGGAGTTCATTATTCCAAGTTGAAAAATCTTTCCAGACTTAGGTCAACAGCAGTCTCTGATGCATTGTTAAGATAAATGAAATGGAGAAAATAGTACAGGAATTCTATGTGCTGTAGACTGTTCAGTAGTTGCAGTGCTGGAGAGGGACTTTCTAGCTGGGACCCGTCCCTGTACTGTAAAGTGGATTTTTGCTTTGTGTGCTTTTTAGATCCAATGGCATTGTAAATCTAACCTTGTAAATCTAACTACGTGCATCTTTACAAAGCTACAATAGGGAGGTGGGTGATGTGTGATTAAGACAGCTTCTTCAGAGTCTGAAGGTCCCAAGTTTGTTCCCAGTATAAATTCTTCATGGTTTTTGTAATGTTCTGAGAGCCTGGGTGACTTTGATTTAAGTTCAGTCCTTTCTCTGATGGTAAATTACAGGTGCAGTTTCTTAACACATTACACCCTGGACCGCCCGGGAATTCCCTTACTCGCTCCACCCTGACTCGCCCAGAACCGCCCGCGCCGACCTAGTGTCTTTAGAAACGAAGGCGAGACTGGGGTGCCGAGATTTTGATTTGCATAGTTATTGCAAAAAGTTTCTTCTTTCGTTTGATATCAAAACAAAATTTTTCGGGCCAGTAGTTTAAGTATTGAGCCAACGAAATGCGATCGCGTTACCGTCACTTCGAAAGTGTCTTGACTTGTTGAAAAGCGACACAATTGAGTTCGAAAAAGGAAATAACGATGGATTTCAGCAAAAACAAGTATATGGCAAATCAAATGACTCAGATTTTGATATAAACGTTGGAGCAATAGTTTGGGGCGATTCAGATTGATCAGACATAGAAAATCTAGAATATAGATCTAGGGCCCAACCGCGAGGCTGAGAGTGAGAGTGACGGGTCGGACACCCCGATTGAACTAAAGTTAGAACATTTCCAACAGTTTGTGCATACATAGTTATATTTTTCTGAAACTACATTCATTTTTCGTCTTTACGTTTATTTTTTAAGGATTTTTGGAATTTGTTTAGTATTTTTTAAATGTGTTTTTAAAGGCTTGTATTCACGGGAGGTGGGTTCTTTCCCCTTACTTAGGATCTAACAATGGACTTCCCGTCCAGACCCTTAGGGTGTAATGTGTTAATGAACCTTATTTTTTGTTAGGAATGGGGAGTAAAAAAATACGCAATCCAACGAACAGCAAGAGCAAACCCAATAACTGATAACAATGTAACCATATGGACAGCTCTGATTGAAACAGCTGCTTGAGCACTGAGATGAGTGGAGATGGGTGGTGGTTCTTACTATGCACAGGTGTCAAACTCAAGGCTCGCGGGCTGCATCCAGCCTGGCGAACAATTATGTCCGGCCTGCGAGAGAATTTGAGGTAGTCCATATTGAAAATCTCTATAAAACAAAACATTACTCTACAAACTTATTGCCAAGGAAAGATTCAAAATATCCAGTTCTGACAAATTGGCATTAGAGTGTATAATTGATGTGCCTTGATTTGTAATTTTAAAAACTTTTGTCTGTTTTAATTCATATCTCTGTTTACAAAAGGTTGTTTTCCACTGCTCAATGACAATGAGTGTTTATGCAGTTCAGCTGGCATGCTTAAGTGTACTATGAGTTTGGCCCCCTGAGCTATTGAGTTTGACACCCTTGCTCTAATATGATGTTTGTAATAAGGGGAGACGACTAATCTGCTCTCTGAGCACTTGCCTGACTCGGCAGTGTTACAATATATTATTTGAGGAACTTCAGAGCCTGTACTTTTTCCATAACTATCCATCATGATGATTATATTGGTACAAACAAACATAGATATATAAATATTATACTCGTATACATATTTTCTAATTTTCAACTTGAACTTGAGTTATTGTGTCTCAAGGAGAAATACATCATAACTTAATCGTTTAATTTGTGTTTTTTGTTTTTTTAAATTTTGGCTTTGTTTGTGCTCTTGAGCCAACGTTCCAGGCTTGGTGAAGATTTTGCAATGTATGCAAGAGTGTATCTTGAATGTTCTGGAATGTTAATTTTGTATTTAAATTTAACACACCTGATTGGTATTGTAATATATACCTGACCCTTTTTTCCCTTCAAGATTGCCAAGATACTTCGTGAGCTGAGTTTGAAAGTTGAGAAATGATAAGTTTATTTGTGACAAGAATGTTGTAATAGTCCAAACTGGGTTTGAATAATCTAGGAAACATCAGTGATTTCAAGGTATTAATTTTGAAGGGAATAACGAGAATAATTTGTTCGTCAATATCTTGACGATAACCAAGGTATCTGCAAGAAGATTTCTTAAAGAAAAATAGAAGAAATTAAGGATTTAAGATGAGTTGTGGTTTCTGCTGTGGCCTGTGAGACCAATTCTAGCAGAGAAGAGCTTGTCACATTTTGAGCATTTAGAAGCTTCATTTTCACTTACAGATGTGTGCAGCTTGCAGGCTTCACTCTTGGCTTCAGCATTTCTAATTAGTGAAGCCTCTTTTAAGGCTTAAAGAGAATAGAGTAGAGAGAAGGGCATCGGCACAGGTACTGTCAGTTATTATTCAGGAAAAGCAAGGTAGCTGTAAATGCAGATTAAACCACCATCCTTGACTTTATTTAAGCCTTTGATGAGATATTTTTTAGCTGCATGTTAAAACACCTTGCAGAGGTGCCAAGTTTCCTAATAAATCCAGATTTCTCTCCAGATCTGTGCATGCCATATTGCACTTTATATAAAAAGTTTTGATTTAAGATGTAAACAATATGAGCCATGAGTTTGAAGTCGCCCGCATGCATTTCCATAAGCTGCAAAAAGTTCAGCTTTTAAAAAAAATTGAAGCTTGTTTGCGCCTCTGATTGAGCTTTAGGAAAAAATACAGTGAGAAACAGAACCATTGAAATCACCATGTGACTCAGAATCTGCTTTCACTGCCTATAAATTGAGTTAGACAACCATCTGCGCCTTAGTGGCTATCAAGCAGCTGAAAGAATTATGAATGTAGCTCACAAATTTTGTGTAGGATGAGATATACTTTATTGTCCAATTATTAGCACATTCATATGATGTTGCAGATTTATTTTTTACTTATATACGGTGTCGTGAATGTCTCTCTCTCTCTCTTTCTCTCTCTCTCTCTCTCTCTCTCTCTCTATCTCTGTCTCTCTTTTAATGTAAAAGCTCTCTGCGCCCTGAACACACCAGTGAGCTATTGACAAAGAAGGACCTTCTAAGGTGTATCTGACAACTCCTTATGTGATTCTACTTTTGGCATGAAGTGTGAGCATGAATGAGATACAGACCTGCAACATGACAATGTGACTATTTTAGTTTTTTTCAGTCACTAATTTTTCTCTCACTTAAAGCTTTGTTTAGGCAGGCAGGGAGAATATAAGGAAAAATTGGAACCTTTTCCTGTCAGAAATATGCGGAACAAAATTTTTTTTTTTGAGTGCCATGACAACTGGAAGCAAGTAAGTTTTGATAATTGATATACTAAGATACTTTAATATTGATTTAAAAATAAGGAGTAATATAACTTCTGCCGCCAGTTTTTTGCAGTTGTTTACATATTTGTAAAATTTAAAAAATTGCGCTTTTTATCTGCAGTGATTAAAGGTTTAATTAAACTCATTTGTCAACATAATTTGTTGCAAGGACAGGAATCAGTCGCTTCATTACCCTTTTGCTTTCAATCCAGGGCTTCTGAAAATGTATTAAAATGAGTAATACAATGATTTGCAGAAGTGGGAAAGTAGTTATGAATATATTACAGTCGGGCATGTACTGCAAAACAAATTCAAAGGTTTACCTAATTTATATAGATTGAAAATTTCATTCTCAAAATCTTGCACTGTTTTGTCTAATATGATTATCGATACTTATTTTGTAACTTATTGTCCTTTGCAGGAGTGTCTTTATTTTTCCAATTTTTGTCAATTATTATTATGCATGATCAGGTATTTGCAGATGTGGTCGAACCAAGTATCGAATTTGCCAACTCTTAACCAGCTGACATATATTTAGATTGGTGAAAACGCTGCCCAACAAAATGAGTGATCAAAAGTTTTCCCATTTTGATAAATATTGAGATTAAGGAATGATAATGGATACATGTGAGTGATTTACTGATATTTTCCCGACATCAATGCAGAAGAAAACAAATTCTGTTTTCCAGACTGAGGCAAAAATAAGAAACAGATACTAGATTCTTATGCTTGGATTTGAATTTGTGTTTGTCTTCTATTCTTTGAGTCTGCGATAAGTTGTCTGAAGTATTTTATTTATCCCAAGAAGGTTTCATGCTTTGATTTTTTTTTTTGCGTTTTGTATTGTAATTGCAAATGAATTGTACATTTGATTAATTGTTAAGTAATGGCAGTGTATTTATTCAGTTTTACCGGATCCAACTTGTAAAGGATGCATATAATAAGAATACTCTGCTTTTTGGGGGGGAGGGGGGCTGGGGGCTCTCTGAACTATGGAGGTAACAGCTGGCATATTGACTTAAGTGAGAAGGGTTGGACATGGACTGGCACCTACGCTACTGAAGCTGTGTAGAGAGTAACTACATGGAGGCTCTGGTTCCCAAGAGTGAGCCAGTGAGACTGTAAAAGTTCAAAACATTTTGTCATCATTTTGTTTTGTAATAATAAATAATTTGTACAGCGCAAATTCCAGCTGACCAGTAAACTCTCTGCACTTTACAATATATGTTATTACCCAA